TCGATAAGAGCTGTTGTTGCATTTCTCCGTTGGCCAATGTGAAACTTTTAATATGTGCTGTGCTGCTCCGCCGGCTCTGTGGACCTCACCTCCTCCAACTGCAGCTCATCTGGGGGGTATTTAAAAGCTGAGAAACTGCACTTGTATGCCTTTTGGCCACAACGTCTGCCTGCTTACACTCAAAGTATTTGTGTGTTGTGACCGTTTTTTGTCAGAAGTTAGTTTACAGCTGTCTTGTATGTTGCTGTCAGGAAAAGTAGCGGCTGTGCTCTTAAATGTCAGTGAATCAAGTAATTACTTGAAGTTATTTCCAACTTGCATCTTAGTAACTACCTCTGGCTCCTGTTTTATGAGGCACCATAGGGGAGATGAGCAATTTTTTCTCAAATTCAATTTTCTCTTATCTTTTGTGTTGATAACAAGTTAGTTTTAGGAGTGCAACACTTCTTCGTCTGTTATTATTATTAATATTTACTGTTGGGGTTTTATTTCTGCTCATCTGGATGTTTTTTTTTTGACCAGGGCTCTCCCTGAAGTCAACGTTAAGCTTCTCGAGCTCACAATAAAAACTGAAATACTGACTCCTCATATTCTTCATGTTGTTTTCTCTGCTTTCCCAAAGACAAACTGTGGACATAATACACATATTGTATTTTAAACAAATATGTTTTTACCCTCAAGAATTCAGGGGTGTAGATGAAGGACGACAACTTGAACTAACATAAGAGCAGACTTGTAACTTAAAGGGCAGAAGTGAAATAGTTCAGGCTTTACTGAAAACAAAAGACAGTCCAACTCAATACAAGTAGGTGTACATAGGGCGCATTACAAAAAAAAGTGGATATTGAGTTATATTTTCTTGATTGAATGTTGTCTACAAGCAGTCAACATCCACCTACATGCATCAATACTCTTAATTCAGCAACCAGCTCACAATCCTCAGATGGCTTCGCTGTCTGGCTTCTGGAGCTCCGGTGCAAGAAGACGAATTAACATAACTCAGCATCTCTGAGACAATAAAGCCCCAGGCCCATTTAAGATGCCGGCTCTCAGCCTGTATCCCCCAGTCGGGCTCCGCAGATCCTAATAGTGCCAGGCTGTGGGCACTCATGTCCTTGAGGCAGTCCAGGCGATGTCCTAATCGACGGCGAGACAGTCCAACGCGAGGCTGGCATCGGCTCTGGGGACAGCCTGGTGCCGGGCAACACCACACCATACAGGACCAGGCTGTTCCAACCAGGAGCTCATGGGAGATTGAGACAGCCTGGGGTAATGAAAGACAACAGCTCTGCCTGCCAGTGGAACTATTGCCATAGAGAGAGGGCACGAAAGGAGAGCGTGGACGCCAGCTGTGGCACTCTGGCATGTCCCACTCTGCTACCTGCTGCATCAGAGCTGTACTTCATTAGAAGTGTGCTTCCTCCATAATGGACGGATGGACCAGTCTGCTTCTAGTGCAGCAATGATGCTAAAAAAAACATGTAAACAAAACTGCAAAAACCTTCACTTGATGCTGCAATGGTGATTTCTGTCTTAATTCTGTCCACCGACCTCAAACACAAACCCACAACCACATCGAAATAGTCATGTTCTACTTGCAATAAGCATACAAGTTGGTTGGTTAGCTTGTTAGCCTGTGGGTGGGAGCATGTGGAAGGTTAGAGGTGGGGAAGTGAGGGAGAATAATTGGTATTCAGCGATGTCAGAGGTAAGTGATACCAGGCTAACCTCCATGTACCCCTTGTTCTCCTCAACACGAGAGAACCTGCTTCACCCCTTAATTAGGACATGAATATTCTAATTAGACACCAGGATGGCGGATGAGGATTAGCTAAAGCCAGAAGAGAGATGGGGAAAGGAGAATGCACAGTATGTAATGAGCACGCTTTTACTGTGCATTCACTGTCAATATCATGTTTTTTTGCATAATGTCACGCGTGTTCTCCGCTCTGGCAGCACAGATCCACTGTGACACCTGTGATCTCATGCTTCATGCGTGCTGCTCCTCCTCGCCCAGCGTGAGTTCTGCCGCGTATAAACAACATACGTGTCCGCACACATGCGCTCATGTGTCGGCGCTTGTTTGTGTTGATGACCTTGACAGCAGGTGGGTGAACTCCCAGGTGTGTCCCAGTTTTAGTGGGAGGATCACAGGCAGGTGGGACTGTGCCTGGCTTGATGTGTCCAGATTAATGAGCTTTCTCTCACTCATATCAGCTGCTACTGCTGCCGCCTGGGCCAAGCTGGAAACAGGGACACAGACCTGGCCCGCATTCACTAGACTCATTTATATTGTCCCACAAATGTGCCACACTATCATGCCGTGCCAGCGCCATATAAAATTTGGATAAGGAAGGAGCATTGATGTATTGTTTCTTCTGTTATCAAAACCTGGTTCTGTTCTTGAGATTTTAACCGTAATTATTCTCTAAATGCGCCCGCTTTACTGTTGGTAAAATCCTGTTTTAATTTCCAAAGTGTTGCCTGGCCAGGTTTAGTGCCGAGAGAGGGACCGGTGGGACTTCTCAGAATATAAACATTATGAGACACACTCAATGGTGCTTTTATGTTGGTAGTAAAATCAGCCAACGAAGTTATGAGGAAGAGATGATCCTCATAACGACGGCACGTGGATTTGGATGTTTCCTCGGTTTTTTTGCTCGTTGCGTTCTCTCCTTTTTATTTTTCATTTTTCATCTCGCACCGCAGAGAGATAAGGATAAGCGTGTGCATCTGTGCGAGAGACACGCTGGAAGATGAACAGTCTGCCATGAAACGCTGCTGCCCACAGTCACCTGATGCAGCTTGGGATAAACAAAAGTTGACCCTACGTGACCTCCCTCATTAGCAGAATAAGATGGAGGATGGAGCGGGGATGATGTGCTCCGCGGTGTCGGTGGTGTGTGGGCTGGCAAATAACTACAGCAGAGCAACAGACACACCAGCAGCGGATGAGACGAAAGATGACAATGAAAAGAGCACTCCTGCGACCTCGCCAGCAGAGAGGTGCCGGATTTACGTGGCCATTATATCTGCCCTACGCACCGAGATGAGCGTTAAATATTTGCCTGTCAGTTTTATATTTATACACAAAACAAGCAAATGAATGAAGTTAATGAGTGAATTTTCTGCTTGGTTTGTTTGATTTGACATCTTTAAAAGTGGCTGAAAGTTATGCAGATTTTTTTTTTAAGCTTTAGTTAGATGCAGGGATCAATCTGTGCCCGGCAGCTCCTGAAATTGCAGGTGGGTTTTTATTTACTGGGTCATTTTATATACTTGTGTGTCCAGAAGAAATGCAGTCTATACAAAGAACTCAAGCACACTGAAACCATTTAATTATATTAACACGACGCCTTGTCGTTGCTTTTTTGTGGGATCAAACACGTCACCTTACCTCCTAAATGCAGGAACTACGATAAAGTCCTCAAACAGCATGAAGCTTTCTGGGTTTTTACACTTCAAACACTGGTTTCTGTGAATTTTAAACGACTTTGTTACATTTTTTGTTCTTACTTGAATTGGGTAGACTGTTTCCTGCATGTCTCCCTTTTTTCCTAAACATCAATCCACTGGAATTTCTTATCTGAACACATATTACCAGTTTTATTTAACAATGTGACCTGTTGATTGCGTTCATTTATGCATGCATATTTAAATGCTGCATTCATTATGGAGGCTTAGATGCTCGTACTGGGGAGAGTCTCGGGTGAATTTATTATTGCGGTGATTAATTAGTCATTGCAGCCATTCTACATACATCAGCTTATATCTATGGTAATTTCTGTCTTTTATCGAAAGCTGTCATTTGGTGGAATTTGGTGATGTTTTGCAATTCACGCCTTCCTATAAACGTGGGCGATGTTAACTGGTTCCGGACTTACAGCCACTCACGATTTCAGATTGCTTCTGTTAGTACCAAACCATTTAAGTGTTGAAGGTCTAGCACTGAAATGTTACCGATAAATGTATTTGTTAGACCATGTGTGGGAGTTTAAAAAAAAAAAACCTTTAAAAGCATTTTCTATCACCTATGCAACCGTCTCACAAAACAGATGTGCGAAGAATTCGTTTGTCTTAAAGCAAGTTTGCAGCAAAAGTTGAACATTGAAATGATTCTGCTTGCTTGAGAAAACACTTCAATATAGTTTATTGGTGAAAGTGAACGGCTTCAGTGTCATTTAATTGGGTTATTTAACAAACATTCAGGGAATCTTTTTAGGGAATCTTGTCAAATCAGATTTACAGATGAACATTTGATAATAATAAAAATTGATCAGATTTATATAGCACTTTCTAGACACTCAAAGTTGCTTTACACTGTCAGTTATTCATCCACACACATTCATTCCGGTGCTGGTAGCTACGATTGTAGCCACAGCGGCCCCGGGGCAGCCTGACAGAGGTGTGGCTGCCATTCTGCCCCCTCTGACCACCACCTCAAACAATCCATTCAAACATATTCACACCAGGTAAGGTGGGTGAAATGTCTTGCCCAAGGATGCAACGACCAGGTTACAGAGTGGAATCAAACCGCCGACCTTCTGATCACTGAGCGACTCGCTCTACCACCTGAGCCACAGCTGCCCCATAAGTCATTTTGAGGTGAACTTATGGCCAAAATGGGCTGACATGGAGCTGTACTCATTAAGGATCTTACTTTGCTGCTGAGTGAGAGCTACTCCTGTGCTCAGAGATGTTGCAGGGGTTTGAGTCTGATGCTCTGGGTGACCACCAATTCATTTATTTTGTCTACAGTGATTGGTTTACAAATTACTGTGAGTGGATTTACATGTATACACTGAAGTAGAAATACATGTCTGGATAGTAAAAAAAAGTAAACTTTGATTTGTATTATATCACAATGTGACATTTTTCCAAATTTACTGTAGACACCGGTTATGTACAACTTCCTTGAACCTTCCTAAATGTTTCATCTTGTAGTCAAGCGGGCAAATTGATCGTACCAGAACCACAGAACACACAGCCTGGACACTCACCTCTCTATCCAGGCCGGCTGCCACTGTCACTATGTCTCCAGTCTCGCTGTTGATGGTGAACATGTTGGGGATGGGGCTGTGGGGCGTCTGTGAGAGGATGCGATAGCGCACCATGCCGTTCGCTGTGGTGGAGTCGTCCGAGTCCGTGGCCGTCACCTGCATCACAGATGAGCCTGTGGAGAGAGAAAAGACAGTCAGCCGGCAGCACTCAGGGTGAGGTACAGTAGAATAATCGGAGATGTAGGCGACGCACATCAGCACAGAAGAAGTCAAGCTGGGAAGAAAAGTAGGGAAGAAAAACAACAAAGTGACATTCATTAAAATACAAAGATGTGCTTCTCAAGGTCCTTTGCACACATACGTTTAAAAAAAAAAAAAAAAACCCACATACAGCAAAATGAAGGTTTTTTTGTAAGCCCATTATTGTTAATGAAATTGTGAGAAATATCAAAGAGTTGAAGGAAGACTAAGAGAGGACTCAGAAGACAACAAACCCATTTATAAACTTGAAACAAGTCAATCAGACTTTTCAAATTGCTGTGACATTCTCTGTTCTTTGACAAACAACTTTTAGAGCCGGAGCTATTAGTGAGCATCGTACAAAAACACAAACAAAATCTGTTAAATAAGCCCCTATTTTAAGCTGTGCTGTTTTGTCCTCTGTATGTTTCAAGCTTATGGGGCAAAGTTTGCACCTCTGCAGAGTCCATTTCGTAATGAGCAGCAGTGGGTCTTCTGCCATTTCCACCATCCATTATTTCAGCCTTCAGCAGCACCGTGACTGCCCTTAATGCTTCGATACTCTCTGCCTATTTGTCTTAGAATCACAGATAAACACTGCCATTTAAGGCCGACAGCACAGAGGTGGCGAGACGGAGGGAGTGTTTGCGAGTGTGTGTGTGTGGGAAAGGAATGCATGTATGTCTACATACACTTCCTTCCAGGCACATGTGTGCATCTGTATGCATGTGATTGTTTGTGTCCTCTCAGCATGTATCAGGGCGAGCGCTTCTGTGTCCTCGCATCTTCCCCGAGCAGAATTATTGATTTGCACGAGTTTGTCAGCTGGGCTCACAAATGCGACCAGGCAATTAGGAGCACTTTGTGCTGGAAAGAGGAGAGATCACCTCGCCTCTCTCTCAGGGTTCTGTGAAAATGTCACTTTCCATCAGGCAGCCATTTACAGGCTGCTGCTGCTGCTGCCGCTGAGAGAAAAAGGACTGTCAGCTTGCAGCAGGGGGACAGCAAAGAGAAGAGACGGCTGAGGCACAAACATGCTTGAATGAGAAGATTGTGTAAGTGGAGAAAGACTTAAAAGGAGGAAGACAAGGACACAGGAGCTGAAGAATAAATAGGAGACAGGAAAACAGAGAAAAAGAAAAGTGGTAATTCATGTGGCAAGATGCCGACATGTTGTAATGTATTGCCTAAATTATAATTTTGATTACATTTCTGGTGACTTTAAAACATGTTTTCACTGTTTTCATGCTAGTAGGCATCAAAATGTCAGCAACTAATGCATAAGCACTAATGATGGAGGGTGCTACGCTGAGCAGGGACCAGCTCAGCGGTTTTGAATTAACACATCAAAGCAATCAAAATCAGTCAGCACAAAAAAAAATAAATAGAACATGTCATGTGTGTTTTAGAACAGGGCAAGTGGTAGCTAAAGGAGAGAGTCAAGCTTTTGCTTCCAAATCATAAATGTAAATGCCTTAACCAAAGCTGTGGGAGCTGCTGGATTCACGGCGGATTCGGCGTTCGCCTGTGGGTCTGAGCGGTTACAGGTGTCTCCATTCCTATAATTGGGTCTAGATGGCACCATCATTCCTGTGACAGCCTGCATGGACACGATAATTGTAGCCTCAAATTCTATTTCAAACTTCATTAAGTTTCAAAGCGGGATTTGTCACTTTGACCAGCAAAGGAAAAGAAGAGAGTCCAAGGAAAGAGAGTAAAAAAAAAGAAAAAACAATTACTGCCATTCCACTGAGGACAGCGTCAATATATAATCAACCTTTCCAGTCCTGCAGGGAGGGACGGGACGTGATGAATCACATGTTGCTATCTTCAATTTCAGGACTCGGTGATATGATGATGCTTTCAGATCCAAAACAGGGAAGGACTATATTCCTGAAAGGGTTAAACTCTGAGCCTGCTTAATTCCTATTTAATTTGAAGACTAATTCCAAATCCTAATTGCTTTTCCGCCAAAATCACTGGACCTGAAAATTTGGTGGCAGGCGTGTATATTGTTGGCCATTTTGCTCACGTGACTGGAGATCACCGGTGAGTTCTATCTGCTGCCTAAACATTAATCAGCCGGAGTCAACATCTGCCTCCCAATTAGAAAGAGATGGAGTAAAAAACAGAGGGAGACGGATACAGACGGAAAGAACAGCGACAGGGAGATAGACACACGCTGATTAAAAGATAGGGGGAAGAGGAGAAAATTGCCGAGCAGAAGAAGAGAGCGAAAAGATTGAGAATAGTGGTGAGGGAGTTTATAAAGACCACTAAAAGCAAAAGTACAAGGGGAAGTGAGGGAGCGAAAGGGCAGGGGATGGACAGTATAAGAGGATAATAATTCTCATCAGTCGAGGGAAGATAGAGGTTGTCTTTCAGGAGGAAAGAGTGGCCACGGTACAGTAGATAGAGTCGGAGAAGGAGAAGCAGAGGTTGAGAGGTAAGGGAGGTAAGAGAAAAGGTTGAAACCCGGTGAATCACGGTGGAAGTCATGAAGGGGACGCAGAGTTTTCACACGAGAGCCTCTAATGGTGTCCACTACACTGTGAGGACACAAAGCTACGGTCAAACCATTTCAACCATTCAAACATGGACACTAGAAATGAGGTCTGAAACTCGTATTCGCACGTTGGAACAAAGGCCAGATCAAAGGTGCTCTTTTCTAATCTTTTTTTCCTACAGCGTGTTCGCCATGTCGACGCTTTACTGCTTACAACCGCTGAGTGGGGGGGGTTATCTCTGATGTCCAGTCCAGTAGTTTGAGCACTTCCGAGGCTTGGATGGGTCTAAAATTATCCCGGTTGAATCATCTGTACTAAACATGAGCAGTTGCATTAGCTGCCTTTCTAAAGGAGCACTTCACTGATTTACACATGGATGACTTCACCTGTCATGGCGAGAACTACTTAACCTATAAAAAAACATTTGTATAACTTGTTTTTATGACATCACCCTGCGCTGACACAGTAAGATGATGTCATTGGGTTTATTTTAGTTTGGACTCTGAAAGCTTGATTTACCAACTAGGGGCAAAAAACATGTAGGTGTCTGAACTACAGGAAAGTTCTGATGAAACACACTGTTGAGCTGCAAATGTTGGAACGGTAGGATCCTTTTTGAGCTTGATGCACTCTGATTAAACTCAAGTGGTCTTGGACTAGTATTTCTTAAACTTGTCAGCTACAAGTCACAACCTTCACGGATATGCTAATTAACTGGAACCCGTCAAAATGAAAGTAACTCGACACTCTGAACCCCAACGAGCTGGCGGGTTTGAAAAGCACGCTATCTTTTAAAAATCTGCAAAAATACACCATTTATCAGAAAGTGAAACTGAAGACATCATCAGATTTCTAACTTCCTGACGTCAGGAAAATGAACCCAAATTTAAGCATTTTCATCAAAATCGCTTTATTCTATCTTACTTTTCTTTCTTTTTTTAATTGCCCCAAAATTACAAGTTAATTGTTCTAATTAGATTCTGCCAAAAACAAAAAATCTGAGAAAACATGAAGCCATTAGTGACTCAGCTGCCACCAACAGCTACATGACAAAAACACAGGCTGTGTTTATACAGAGCAAATAGAAGACAAGCACAGAAACAAGTTTAAAAAGGTAGTAAAAATATCTTTAGTATGCAGAGTCACGGACTGCACGGTGGCCCGGTTGTTAGAAACGTCACCTCACAGTTAGAAGATCGCCGGTTCACGTCCCTGTTAGGACGCCCGGGATCCTTCTGTGTGGAGTTTGCATGTTCTCCCCGTGCAGTGTGGGTTCTCTCCGGCTTCCTCTCACAGTCCAAAAAACATGAGGTTAATTGGTGATTCTAAATTGTCTGTAGGTGTGAATGTGAGCAGCTTGTTTGTATCTGTGCGCGATAGACTGGCGACCTGTCCAGGGTGTAATGAGTCAGCCGGGATAGGCTCCAGCTCCAAGCCTAGTGAGGATTAAGCGGTGTATAGAGGATGGATGCAGACTCACCTTTTTTTTTTTGCCAGAGTTGGTAACTCCTGCACTTGGAAAAAGTTCTTTAAGCTGATTCTTTCAATTTTTGCAAAATGAATAGGCAAAGAAACTTTACTTTTTCTCTCTTTTTTCTGATTTATTGCATTTTAACTGAGCCATGCTTCACAAAAGACACTTTGGAGTTCTCTCTACTTCTACACATTGTTGTGCTGTTTCCATAGAGGTGCAAGACTTTACATTGTAGTAAAAAAAATGAGGGTTCAGAGGGTTAAAATATTAAAAAATTTGTTATGATTCTGAATGGCTTCTTCCTGACGAGAATGGTGGTACTCACACATTCAACACATTTCTGTGCGGTTATGTAAAGAAATGTGTTTTGGGTAAGTGCAGATGTGCAAACCTCCTGAATCTCAACAACGTGTTGTCAGAGCGGTTGATCCAGCTCCTGTTGGGAGGCTGGTTTGAAACAGAAAAACAATAAACATCATACCTAGAATCTGTTCAATGCTCAGGGGCATCACACTTTTTTACAGTTACTCACCATCACAGTGAGGAAAACATGACTTGTCAGAAAGGCAGCTGAAAAATGACGCCCATAGACAATATTATGAAACTTCTCCAGAGAATTTTTTTGCTGGCTGAAAACAATAAACTATTACAAAAAAAAATGTTAATTGGCCTGCGTGAGAATAGGGAACGTGTGTCTAAACTAACTACGATGATGGGTTTTATGAGAAATTAACAAACATCCGATGGGACAGCGAGTCAACACACAGCATGAGAAAACACACAGATGAGTCAGTTTTACTCGTTGGTCGTGTCTGCAGGTAAAAGTGATTTCCTGCTGCACACTGCTTGCCTGTCACAGACAACTGGTAAAAAAAAAAAAAAAAAACTGTCTCTCACAGTGAGGTGGCACCGCTAACGCCTGACCCTCTGTGTCAATATAAATTCATGTGAC